GCGCGAGCTTCGGTGGCCAACGACCTTTGTTGTGCCATAGCCCTTTCCGGTCGCCCAATGGTGGCACGTGGACATGGATGCTGAGGACGCGCGTACACGGGGAAGGAGGCAGTCTTGAGGGTGACCACTTCTTTTCGAAGTCCGTGGGCAATGGAGGGTGGTGGGGGAGATGGGTGTGCGGTGTTGACGTCCATTGAGAAGACGGCGGTGGTGGCGGCGGCACTGGAAGTCGTTGGCCGTTGTCAGGTAGACAGAGCGTCCAGCCGCATGAAGGCAAAGCTAGCGAGGCGCAGACAAAGGATGCTGATACAGGGAGTGGCCGACACCCCAGACTGTGTGGCAACTTCAGAGGCTGTCGTTCAATTGTGCGCTGCATAGTGCTTTGGTGTGCTCCCTCGAGCGACGCTAAGATGGTGGCTGAAACGGAGAATGGGCGAGAATGGGCGGGGAGTGCGAAGATCTGCGGGTGTGCGATGATGCGACAGCCGTCTGCGTGCTTCCACGGGAACACTTCGGTGACGTGATGACACCCCCACCCCTGCAGGTGGTGTACTGTTCGTCAGCCGTTTGTCCATCCTGCTCGCCTTCCTCGCCGACTGCCTCGTCTGGCTCCTCTCAGGAAGTCGTCACAGGAAGCACAAATGGAACATGTCCACCACCAGAAACGCACACTTGGCCTGATTCCCAGCACATGCTGCTCCCCACGAATAGATTGGAGCATGTCGTCCAAAAAAAAAAAAAAAAGCACGGCGATGAGCAGCAGCCATGGCAGCCTGCGGTGCAGGGCAGCCATGAACGACACAGGAGAGAGGATAGTGTGGGCATGGATCTTGTGGAATGTGCATACAGTGACGACACACGACAGTCGGAAACACTCCAAGAGCACGCACTGTCGTCCACATAGCGCTCACCACCACGACCACAAATTCAAAATTAACGACCGTTGGATCCCATGAATCTCAGGGTAATCAATGCTGGCAGGAACCCTCCACACGTTAACCTGATATGCTCTAACTTCAAGAATGTATATGGGACACTGGACCCGTTTTCCAGCAGGTGAGGCTCCCCACCAATAGATGGAGCCGCTTCCCAGGTGGTAGTGGTGTCTGCTCTTATCAGCACCACTAACACTGTAGGGGGCGTTTGGGTAAAAAAAAAAGGGAAAAAAGAAAAAAAGAGGGGGCCCCACCGAAACGCCACGGACCCCAAACGAGGCGGCTGGAAAGGATGACGCGCCCTGCCGCCATCCAACACCAGTGGTAAACGGACGAGGCCGTTGGAGGTTGCCCATGATGTTGAAGGCCAACAATGTCCGCCACCCGGCCCCTGGACCACGACTGGACCACCATCTGCCTCCAATTTTCCTTCTACGCTCGACGACAACACCCCGTGAATCGAGGATCCTCGGACCCCAAAGGACCTCGCGAGGTCCTTTGGAGCCAAGGATGATTTGCCTGGGAAATCCTCGGAGTCCGTGGATTTGTCCTCGGAGTGTTTTCACATTTTCTTTTCGAAAACCGGCTCCAAGGACAGGTGGAACGACGATAAAATCCTTGGAATCGCGTCCCTGAGGAGTGTATAACGGCGCCCTAACTGGCCTGGCTCACAGAGTTCTGCAGTTCACATCAAAGATCGCTGTTGTTGCCCTTTTTGAAGATCACTGTGCTGTTTCCCTTTTGGGATATGGAAAAAACAAAAGGAAACAGTCTAGATATATATCCACAGGTGACCGTCCCCAGGTAATTGCAGATCATTATTATTGACATTATTGTAGATGATACGTCATGATTATTGATTACTGAACTTCTGTTATGATTGGTATTCAGAGTTTTTTGGATGTCAGCTGAGATGATGCTGACTAGAATTCAACCACAGAATTGTTTTTATTGGGAATGTCCCAACGGGCTATCAAGTAGGACCTGAGGGGGCCTTTCCCACCACAAGCTTGGCACCCAACCTGCTGATGGGGGGTACTTTCCCAGATCTTTTTTTTTTTTTTTAAGGACAAATGCTCCACGGACCAGTCTATTCGTGGGGAGCAGCACGCGGGCCCAGCGTCCCATATACAGTTACTTTCCCAGATCTTGCTACCAGGGCTCATGTTCCCACAGAGCTACAGGTTACAGGGTGGCACAACTCACCCCAGTGCCGACCAGCATCGTTCTGGCCTCAGCCAATGTTAGGCTATTGAAAGTGACGGCAGTGGCCTACCACATACTCGGTGCTTGAAACCTACTGTGCTAGATGAACAGCTCATCTAACACGAACATGGTCTGATCCGACCAATCGACTATTAGATTGGAGTCTAGATCGTGTTGATTGTCCAAGACCTCACTCAGTGTCAGAACAGAACGGTGTTAGGCTAATCCCCTTAAGGGTCCGCACAGGACAATTCTTACTACAGGATCTCTGAATCTCCTTGATACCACCGACGGCCCCTGCAATGCTCAATTTTCTTGCCTACGAGTGCTGGGCCAAAATCTACAGTGCCCAGGCTCAGTACCACAATCACTTTTCCTCTGGGCGGCACTGTAGATCTTAAGCTCGGGGAAATGTGACTTTTGGTTTCTCAAAATAGGTCCAAATGGGGTGGTGGTTTAAATATGTTGTCTTGCTTCATATGGAACATGGAGTATACAACAAAGCTCCTTGTGCGACTTACCGGCCTACAGACAATGTCTGTGCTTCTGCTGGGAAATTAGGTGGCCAAATTAGGATGTCAAACCACCCGTTCACCCAGGTCTCACTGCAGTCTTTCTGAACCGCCAGCGGCGCACTTCTTTTCTTTTTTGCCTGGCGCAACGAGCCATTGTTGTCCGGTTGCCGCGAGCCCTGAAAAGTTCGGAGTTGATGTCTGTGGTATGCAGTCATGAATGTGTCACACAAGCACAGGTCATGCTCCTGCTAGCACAGACATAAGATATGGTACCACAGACATAAGAACAGAAAGACTACCAGAAAGCAGCAGACAGACAGAGCCTGGTGTCTAAGCTGTTGGTCTTCAGAACTGTTGACTCATTGAGGGCAAATAGACAAGCATACACATCCAGCAACACACCACACACACAATTACCAAGGGGGAGTAGAAACACCATTCTTTTCCCGGACTACGAGGTGGGATGATAAGAGCATCACCGCCTGGTAGCCTGCCGCTGGATGCTCCGATCTATTGGTGGGGAGACACCTGCTGGAAACCGGGTCCAGCGTCCCACATGGCATATACATCAACAGAGTTGCAACAGAATTAACAAGATGAAAGCTGATGCAAGCTAGCAGACTGGGTACAAACTTATATGGAGGGACACGCTCCACCCACTGGTACAGACACCACTCTAGACTTAGTCTAGACAAAACAAAACCGCATACATGTGCATACACACATGAAAAATGAAGACTGGAATATGAAGCAAAACATGATAAAAAGGGGACCACAAACAAGTGCGTAAACAAAGAGAAATTCAATGCGTTTGCACAAAACAGGTACTGAGATTCAGCCATCCTTTCCAAAGGTCGAGAAAATTGTGCAGTTCAGAACTACCATCTCCTCTCATAGGACACACACAATGATGATGCAATAGATCTGAGGTCAGGAATGCAAGGTCAAAAGTACATGAGTTTTATTATCATGGCGTAATCACCTTCCTCCCAACAGCACCTTGACGCAACACTGTGAAGGTTTCTGAACCCTTCTACTCATACGCCACTCAGATTGAGGTACATAGACCTCAATTTGGAGCATGCTCAGCATGGTTTTCTGCCCAAAAGGAATCAACGGCGCAGATGGATTGGATTATTATTATTATTATTATTATTATTATTATTATTATTATTATTATTATTTACATCAAAACTGGACCATTTCTCAATTTGCATGCATCATCCTTGTGCAGGGGGCACACTGATCTTCTCTGTATCGTTCCAGGTTTAACTAATGTCTTGGAGGACAGATGAACAGGTTTACCTTACCACAGCAGACGGTCTAGAGAGGAGAAGAAGTACGAAATAAATAATGTACAATACAAGCCAAGGTACACAATGTACTACCACATGTTTACGAAAAGCCTCAAGAACACCAATGAGGCGGAGAAGAAGGGACAAAAAGGGAAGAAAAGGTGATGAGGATTAAGGAAAATGGTTCCAATAGGGAATGAGAAGGAAAGTGAGAAGGAGAGCAGCTGTACAAAATTGACCAGTTTCTATATTCAATTTGGAGGAGAAGGGAGAAAGGGCTGTATGGTACTGACTGAGGCAGCCAACTGGTAGCCCACAAAAACCTGAAGGACACTCTGAAACAGTCCGAAGGAACTGTTAAGACCACTGCTACCTTTGAGTCTTCTCTGCTAAGCATGCAGCCATATGCTGAGCGCAGTTTCTGAAATTTTGGCTGATACTGAAAGGCTGAAGGATGCTGAGAGAGCTGTATTGAGCCACAACAGCCAAGAGTCGTCCCAATTGCTGTTGAGTAGCCTAGCAGTAGGTCAGCAGTTATCCATGTTTTTCCTAAATTTTCCTGAACTCCTTTAATAGTTCTCAGATTGTTCTTAGCCGAAGCCAGGTAATGGCCCTGGTATTTCAAATGATTTGTATAATTCTATATGGGACGCTGGGCCCGGTTCCCAGCACGTGCTGCTCCCCACGAATAGCCTGGAGCATTTGTACCAAAAAAAAAAGAAAAAAAAAAAGAGCCACAACAGCCAAGAGAACTGAAAACACTGCAAGAGTGAAGTTCAGAGAGGCAGATCATGATGGATAGGGGAGAAATGAGGGACCACCACTATAGAACACACAGACATTATAGCTGTATTTGATGGAACTTTCAGTCCAGATGCAGCAATAATACCGGCCGTTCTATTTGGGTGAAGACGGTAGCTGCACAAATAAAAAAGGGAGTGATACTACAATGGCACTTACCTGCATGGAGACTACGAGGATGAGACTGAGGAGACTCGAGGGAAAACCTGGAAGAGCTGGAGTTACTTTCTACAAATTTTGTACTTTCATCTTTTCCAGGTTTTTTATCCCAGGAAGAGCCCTATTACCCTCAGTTTAAACTGGAGTTCACCCCTCGAGGGTTTAAACTGAGGGTAGAATTGAGGAAGGTTGAAACTGAGGGTAGAATTGAGGAAGGTTGTACGAATCGAACCACACTAAGTTTGCTCCTTCCAGGCAAAGTCAAGAATTGAGAATGCAGCATTCTAAAGATTTCAGATGAACAGTGCCAGTGCTACTGGATCAAAACGGCTCGTGTACCCACAGACCTGGGTGTGGAATCTGCAGAGTGGGAAAGCAGGCGAGCCGACCGGGCTAAGGGCCACTAATGGGCCCAACAGATCAGGGGTCCCTTTCCCAGGCAAAGTCAAGAATTGAGAAGGCGATATTCTGAAGACTTTGGATGAACAGTGCTACTGGATCGAAATGGCTCGTGTACGACAGACCTGGGTGCTGAATCTGCGGAGTGGGAAAATAGTGGAGCCAACCAGCCAAAGGGCCGCTAATGGGCCCAACAGATCAGGGGTCTGAGTATTACTGCTACATATTAGTACTAAGAGGAATCTAAGGAGAACTGGGGGTGAGGATTGGAGACTCTGAGAGAGTTTGAAAAAGGTGCTGTGCTGAGGCAACTGAAGGAGAGATGGGGTTGAGGATGGAAGGACCTAAATGTGCAAAGGAACATAAAAGAAGGGCATCCAGGCAGTCTGGCATCCAATTATTACCACACTTCGACATCCCATCACTCAGGGTCAAGCAGGCGATGAAGATGAGGAAGAGAATGAGCCAGCAGTTTGATTGAAAAGTTGGAAGTTTTCACGACGAGGAATCATGAGGTACTGCATCATCGCTGATGATGGTCCTCATTCTGATCCAAACCCTTGCCCCCACAAATGTAATTCTTGCGACTTGAAAAACAACGAGAGCCCACCAGGCCCAGCCGATGCCGAGCCCGAGGAAAGTGCCCAATTTTAGCCAGCAGGCCCCAGCGAAGAGGCTGAGAAACATGCTGAGGGCCAAGTAGTGTACATCACGAAGGGAGAGTAAAACCCCTTCGAGAAAGATATTAACAGCAGAAAACAGGAGTGCAAAGAAGAGAGGAAGGCATACTCTCCTCATCTCGGACACCACGGCTGGGTCTCGTGTGAAGGCATGGGCAAATTGCCAAGAAATAAGCGCCGCCACCGTTCCGGTGACTAGGCCTTGAACCCATCCAATGGCCAATACGGACTTGAGAAGGAGGGGGGTCCTCTTCCTGTATTTGGGGTCAGAAGAATGAATGTACAAGGGCATGAAAGTCTGTGCAGTTTGAGAGAGGGGTTCTCCGCACACCGAGTTTATCACAAAAATACTCTTCATCACCTGGTGGGCAGCCATTGCCGAGGTCCCAATGCCCATAGCAGAATAGCCAAGCAAGGCATAGAACGACGTCTTTCCCACAGTCACCAAAAAGATAGGCCAAGCTATGTTGAAGTATACACGGAAGTCCCGCCAAGAGGGCCAACTGATTCGCAATCTGATTCGATTTAGCTTCCGTACCGCGCTGAGCATCAGCAATGCCGCCACGTACTGCGACACCACGGTCGCCCACGCCACACCCGCGATGCCATTGTCGCTCCACACACAAAATGCGATATCGCCCAAGAGATTGAGCGCGCTGGCGGCGGCCAAAACTTTCACCGGGTTCCACGAGTCTTGGAACGCTAAGTTGGTGCTCTGACAGACTGACGTTGTCAAAAGCGCCGGCCATCCCAGGTTCCGAATAGACACGTACGACAAGGACAAGGGGATCAGCCCGCGGCCCTTGTCCCCGACAAAGCCCGCGATGAACCCGGGGGAACTGCGCGCAACGAAGAGCATCAGCAGACAGCCGCAGGCGAGTGAGACCCCGAGCAAGTCCGAGACGTGCCGCTCGGTTTTCCTCAACTCTCCTTTGGCGGCAGAGGTCGCAACCAGTGTTGACGTCAACCCCGAGAGAAAGGTGAAGGCGTAGGCAACCTGGTCGCAGAGGACGGACCCGGGACCCAAGGCGGCTAGCTGAAGAACGCAGGTGCGCCCAACAATGGCCGTGCCAACGAGGTTCATGATCGGATTTGCTAACCAGATTCCGAGAGCAGGTCCCCCGAATCGCACGGTAAGTTTAACAAAGTCCCATACCAGAACCTTTTGATCAATGGCTTCATCTTCCGGATCGTCCTTTGAGTCAACAACAGCGCTATTCCTAAGCAAGCTTAGTCCTGTCGTTGAGACTGAAGCTTGTCCCCTGCTTCTTCTTCTCGGCTCCGCGTCTGGCTGCTCTGCAGACGGCGAGCGATCGAGTCCCGCTGGCAGCTCTGATCTAAGTACAGCAGCACCTCTTTCTCCTCCTCCTCCTCCTCCTCCATCTGTTGTTGTTGCTTCCGCTTTCTCTACGTTTCTTGGTGCTGCTGATTCTCTTGCTGCTACCACATCGAGATCTCTTCTTGCTCCTCCTTCTCCTCCTTCTCCTCCTTCTCCTCCTGCCGCTGCTGCTGCTGCAGTTGTTGCTAATCCTGGTCCATCAAGATGTCTTCTTTCTCCTCCTCCTCTTCCTTCTGCTACCGCCGCTCCTATTCCTGCCGCTGATGGTGCCGATCCTCGGCCATAAGGATCTTTTCCTCCTCCTCCTCCTCCTGCTGTTGCTGATTCTGCTGCGTCCGAATTTGCTGCTGCTCCAGATCCGTTAGTCGAAACAGATGAAGATGACGCTGACGCTGGCGAATGACACGTGGCTGAGCAGGAGGAATCGAATGTTGTGCGACCATTCCCCGACAGATTGTGATGATGATCAGGAGGGTTAGAATCTGTCTCAGTCTCGTGATTCGCGTTCGGCGCTGACATGGCGGTCTGGTTCAGGAGGAAACTCTGCTGCGTCTCTCGACTGCCTCCATCGCCCTTTACTTTCTCCTTCCCCTTCTCCTTCCCCTCCTCCCCCTCCTCTTCTGTCTCCAGGTAGCCGCTCAGCTGTCCCAGCAACGAATTGCCACCCGATCCCGACGCCGCATGATCGTGCGCTTTCGTCTCCTTACCGCCTCCTTCTGAATCCAGCGCCTCGTGTTGTTCCACCACTTCTTCCGCGACCACCCCCGGTTCCCTCGCGCAGCCAATTGTTGAAGTCTGAATCCAACGGCTCGTGTTGCACCCATATCCGTCAGTCGTTTGCGGCCGAGGGCGCCTTAAAGTCTGATGACATCGCCCTCGACCGCCTGATTGATCTCCTCCTCCTCCTCCTAGTGATGGACCTGCACGATCATACATTCCGGCATTTTCGTTGCGCCGGGCAGTCGAGAGCGGGCGTAAGAAACGTTCGTCAGGGTGACAGACTTGTCGGAGGCAGGAGATTCCGTCGGTTCCTGCATAGTACCCACCTGTGCCGGCGCACCTGAAAGTGCTGCGTCTTTCCCGCCGTGCCTCAACCAACGCGCTTGGTGCAGAGACTGTTCCAGATGGTTCACCTTCTGCCCGTACTCGTTGTCCGAGAATCCCCCAGTCTAGTTCCCAGCCCCTCTTCGGAGCCCAGCATCTGTGTCTCCCTTCCCTCTCTAAGCCCAACGAAGCGGAGAAAGCGGAAGAGAGTGGCGGAGGTCGGGATCTGGATCGGCCTTGGCCAAAAATGGCTTCTTCTCCAACCAGCCCGCCAATTGCTCCTGATTCGATCAGCCTGGTCACTGTACCAGGTCTATCAAGCCCTGATTTAATCATATAGGCCCGACGTGTGCGCCTCACTACCTTCAGAAGATGATGATGATGATGATGATAATGATAATGATGATGATGATGATGATGATGATGAGGAGGAGGAGGAGGAGGAGAAGGAGATAGACCGCCACGATGATAGGTGTTGCTATCAACGGCCTGATGGTAAGAGAAAGACGCTCCCCTTGCAGGCTCAGCAAGTAGGTGAAAGGGACAGGTGCGTGTCGCGATAGCAATCGACCCATACTGTTCCATATTCGATACTGACGGACAGTCAGGGAGGCATGGAAGAGAAGAAGAAGAGAAGAAGAAGAAGAGAAGAAAAAGAGAAGAAGAAGAGGAGGGGAGGAGAAGAGAAAGAAGAAGAGAAGAAGCAGAGAAAGAGATCGCAGTGTTAGGAGGATGAATAACGGAAGCGCGAAACTGAATGAAGCGGTCGACCGTTAGCCGGCAGGCGGCTGGCAAGATAGGCAGAGCAAAAGCCAATCGCCCCGTCTCCGACTTGGTAATCAACTAAGGCGTTGCGCCTTACGCCACGCATCAGTCAAAGGGGGGATCGTTATAGTGAAAACCGAGTGGGAATCTTGGTGGTGATAGACGGCCATAACCACCATGGATGACCTCCAGGAGGATATGGACTTCCGTCTGCGGAAATTAATTAAAACAGAAATGGAGGACTCCATTATTACACTATTATCGCAAAAAATCAGAAAAGCAGTCCGTCGTGCCTCATTCCCGAAGGGATGTGATTGATTACTTTCTCATCGTCGCGCGCCTTCAGATAGGGTCGTATGCGAGCTGGAGCCGCTCGACAACAGACGGAAGAGAATCGGTCGGCAGACGATGTCGAAGCAGCGGTCAAAGAGGATAATGCCGGCACGTCCGAATCTGCAAGGCATTGAAAAAAAAAAAACAAGAGTGTTTTGCAAGTTAGAAAGGAGGCAGATTAAAAAAAAAAAGAAAAGGAGGCAGACGTCTTCTTACGCGCGGAAAAACAGAGTGTTTTGCAAGTTAGGATAGAGGCCTTGCACAAGGGCCTTCTAAAAAAAAAAAAAAAAAAAAAAGAAAGAAAGGAGGCAGACGTCTTCTTACGTGCGGCGAGTCCCCGAGCGTAGGAGAAATATCTTTCCCCTCAGAGTTTTGGGGGCAGGAGAGGGGAAAAAAAAACACTTCGGAATTTTCGCTTCTCGAGGGAAAAAAAATCTCACCGCCCAGATCACGATAATCCCGACATGCTGCCGTGGGCTCGATGGGATAACAAGTCGGGCGAGCCGTAGAATGCTCCAGGCAACCCGACCGCGACCGGGGGAAAGCGAAACGGCAAGGGGTATTTGTGCCTACAAGAGCGAAGGTGCAAGGGGCACTCTTGTGACAGGGAGGATGCCATTGATGAGAATGATGGGGTTGGGGAACAGAAGAAGCGTGACGAAGAGAGAAGAAAGCGCCAATGACAAGCGAATGAACGACGAAGTTGGAAAGAAAGAATGGAGCAAGTGGACAAAAAGGTAAGGGGACTTTCTCAAAGCGCCTTCCGCTTCCTGTGCTCATTCGCAAACACTCACAACCTTTCAAACCCATTGACGCGGTTCGAAATTTGTCGCTACGTTGGCAACAATGGCGAGGTTTCGGTGCGCACTCCCTTTGTCGTCGGTGTCAGGGTGTGCCCACGATGCCGGTTGGGTGGTGTCGGTAAACCAAGCCACTACGTCTGGCGTTGGGGTTTTTTATACCTTTTTTTTTGGGGGGGGAATCATTTTATTGCAAATGCATGCAAGGGAAAATTGTATCTGTACCCCACTTAGATGGGAATGCCCGCTATACCCAGACCCAGCGCAAACTTACATCTACAAGGGCGTTCAACTTTGTGTAGTACCTAGCTTTTCCCCTGTGCGAAATTGTAGGTGTGTACCCAATCCTGCGGGCCCTGGATTCACAGCACGAAAGTATGCTCATGCCCGCCAAGTAGACCGTTGTGGCCCAACGGTTGCTGGGTATGAGCATAATTTCAGCCGTCCAGTAGCAGGGTATATGAACAATTTGGCCTCTCCTCCTCAGGTCTCGGGTATGCCCGCAATTTTGCCTGGGTATGTCCATAATTTGTGCGTTCCCGTAGTTGGTAGTTGGTTATAACCGCATGTGGTACCAACCTGGGTCCACCTTGGTTCTGGGCATGCAAACAATTTCCACGAGCTGCTTTCTGGGTATAGACACAAGTTGGCGCTGGGACTCAAGCTGGGACTGGGTATAGCCCGTATTCCCATCTTTAAGTGTGGTACAGATGCAATTTTCCCCTGGGTATAGCCAGTATTCCCATCTTTAAGTGGGGTACAGATGCAATTTTGTCCAAATGGAAGGGTTGAGGCTGGGAATTCCTCACAAAAAAACCGGAAGTGAACTGGGGCAATTACCCAGATTAGGATTGTGCTGGAAACCAGGTCGAGCACGGCAGCGCCCCCAGGCAAATCATTCCAAGACTTCTCCAAAAAGTAAACTTGAAGCACAGAAAAAGTGGTATTCAATCATTTATACCTTTTTTCTGTGAGTGTGCATGTCTGTGTGTGTGGGTTGTGGCTGTCATGTTCGCTACACCCAACTCCACGAATGAAAAGCATGACTGTGCCGGACTGTTTCGTCGGACTTTCACCGACACATCAGGAATGTTTTTTGGTTGTTTGTGCGTGTGTGTGCGCGTGTGTGTGTGTGTGTGTGTGTGTGTGTGTGTGTGTGATGATGTGTGTAAAACACATATTGCAAACGCTTCAGTACATAAACGGAATGTACTCCAGACCGCTGACAATTCATAGGATGTGACTCCAACAGGGACATCCATTTACACATCGTTCTCACCTCTATTATTTCCTCACGCACATATCAGGGCCAATCAACAGGATGCAAGTATTTTTCAGATGACCCACAAGCCAAGTACGAGATTGGATAAGAGGACACACACCCGGCATGCTCACAGATACACGGAACACATGAGAATAGTATAGATACAAATCGGTAAAAGAATCCTCAGCTTTTCCGTACAAATTCTGGAAGATCCCAACCATCGATACCCTAGAACATTCCGGAAACAAGGTAATCCACAGTATTAACAGCACACTCTGTTCGAGCAAACTACAAAAGCAGCACTAGAACGGCAACCATGGGCGTCAACACCTTATACCAAACAAATTCTAGCCCCCAAGCAACTATTCGAAAGGCATCGAAAACATATATACCCTGAACCGAAAAAAGAACAAACTATAAGAAGAAAGCCCAGAAAAAACGAAGGAGCGCTGCAGGAAAACAGAAACAGGTTCGCTTATTACGGCACTTCTTCCTGCGCTATGTGCGACATAATGCCCTCGATCGTGTCGCGGTAACTAGCTCTATTGCGTGCCTATCTCGAAATGCCTCCGATTCCCCGTTGTGACCAGATAGATTCCCCACATCGATCTCTTGCTCCCTATATTGCTTCTCAAGATACTCTCACTATCCCATCCCCTCTTTCATTCCGACAGTATCCATACTCCAATCGCGCATGCTCCTGTCCTACACAACCCAACAGCTCCGCCCTTAACGACGCCAAAACCTCGCAATCAAAAGACAGGCACGAGCCCTCCCATAGCAACGTAGCGAATGTCGAAAGACAGTCCCGAGGACAAATTTCCACGGCCACTCAAACTCCTCGCAATCTATCCACCATCAGCATTGCCTGGAACAAAGCAAACACATACAATCCCCAGATCGGCACCCCATACAGCAGAAACAGTGTCCCCCGAGAATCCCATAGACTGACAGAAGAGGGGGGGGAGAGAGAGAGAGAGAGAGAGAGAGAGAGAGAGAGAGAGAGAGAGAGAGAGAGAGAGAAAGAAAGAAAGAAAGAAGGGGGTAGAGGAGATATTAAAAAGATCCAAGGTAGAACGATCCGGCACAAATATACCCCATGGCATACTTCACAGCACAGTCACCAGCAGTAACAACAACGAGGGTTAATCGGGTCAAGGACAGGGGATGGACGTCAATAAAGGATGTAGAGACTGCAATTGTCCTCAATCGTACATGTACATAGGCATATATATATACAAACGTATGTATACATATATGCTTATGAATACAATGAAACTTCAGAAGACATGCATGGAGAGGAAAACACAAAATGATGCGAGAATAAATAAGCATAGTACTAGGTTCTCAATATATTCGCTCTCCCATCATTATACCACACCAAGGGTAGGCGGGAGAGACTTGCGAACTCACCGGCTGGGGTGGTGGCATGCATCCTACAACATGCTTTTCGCTAGTTATGCCACAGACTAGCTCGTCAGAGGTAATCCAAACTGGATAGCACATAGTGAGGTCGCAAGGATAGCCAATACTGAGAACCATTGTAAGTTTTACACGCAGGTATACCAGGGAGGGAAAAGGAGGGAAAAGGAGATCGCGGTGGTAAAGGAAGGAAATCATCACCTCCGGTTGAGCCTCAGCCTGCAGCATTTCTTCGAAGCTGAAGGCGGAGTCCATGCTGACGTTTAAATTGATGGAAGATCAAAAGTTCAGAAGATCTTGTTCGATCCCAGGGTTATCGTTAAGATAGGTGTGCACTTAATGCATACACCCGGGGGAACGAGAGAGCAAGACACTAAGAAGGTGGCAGAGGCAGCAAACGAAATCCTGGGCAGTGTGTGTAGCGGACCTCGGGTTGGCCTGTGAGACCAGCCCCTTGGCCTGTTCTCACAGGCCTGTGCTATATTTGGGGTAGGCCAGTCCAGGCCGGTACCTCTGTCGGTACCAGCCAGTCCAGTCCAGTCCCGTCAGTCCGYTGGGGTATACCCCAGCCATTTTCTGTTTTCATTCTCATTCATCACTTGCACATTTTGGAGTACGTGCGTTGGAGTCTTGCGTGGGGAGCTGCGTTGTGCCAACTTGCTCCCTCTTCTTCCTCTATCTCCATCTCTGTCACTAGCGGAGCACCACACCCGGTGGGTCCGCTACATTGGTATCGGAGCAGGCGTTTCTCCCTGCTCCCCTCCCCCATCCACCCCCCTTCATCATTTCACACGTGGCTTGACCAAAAAAGCTCGCCACTTCACGTTTATTCTGACACCGGTGCACATTTTTAGTCATAACTTCTGCATCCGGTATGAGAATGTTTTCAACTTTAGCTTGTTGGAA